CCATAAGAAATCCCCTGCTGAGTTAGAACCTCTGAAAACATTAATGGCAGTAATCAACATCACTGTCATGTTGTTAAAGACCCTCAGACATGGGATGCGTGCAACCCCACCCCGATTAATTTTGGGTTAGGATTACATGCAACTCTTAGTTTTCAGGGATGAACCACTGGCTTCATATTGCATGTTGCCTGAAAACAGGTTAACAGATGTATTTTCTTTATTCTTGCAATTTCCAGCAAACAAGTGCTTGAAAATACATGGCTTGGCCACTGCTCAGTCACCCAGTGGCATTAATATAGAAGTTTCTGGCTCAGGGTCATGATGTCACAGGAGGTGTGAGCTGCCACAAGAGAGAGTAGGACCTTAATAAAATACGCAGAAGTGGATCTGTAAGACCCACAGAAATGGTCTGGCAACTGGGAAAGCATGTGACATTGGTTAGTTGAGTGTGACATAAATCCATGCTGCTGTTCAAAAAGGAAGCCCTATTCCTCTTAAGGTTGCTTGTCCTTGCCAGCTCCCCCATGCTGGAAAGAATGAGTTATCTGAGAAATAACTTCATCAGTTCAGAAACAAGTTAAAAAATAGGTTTCAACTGAATCAACTCCAGCAGAACCTAACGTACACAGAGTCCTGGATATATTTCCCAATTAATGAGAATAACTGTACTGCTGAAAATCATAGAGATGTTGATAGAATGGACCTCTGGAGTCCTCAGGTACAACTTTCTCCTTGATCCAGGTCTGCTACCAGAAGCAGACAAGATAGTATATTAACCGACCTACATGGTGTGAGCATCTCGAATCTGCCTTCTTGTCCAGGACACTGATAGAGCAATAAAGCTAGAAATGAGACAGCGATTACCTGTGGTGCTGTCTTCACTCTAGAGCATCTGTTTCTTTTTTTGCTGATAAATGCTTATGACAATGGATCAAAATGCCACTGTCACGCTATGGAACAACTGTGAATGCTCCATTCTTTGTGAGATGGTGGCTTTTTGCTTTTGTGGGGTTTTTTTGTTTGTTTGTTTGTTAATTTGTTTTTCTTTTGTTTGTTTGGTTTTTTTGTGTGGGTTTTTTTTTGGTGGAATTTTTTTGGGTTTTTTTTTTTTTTTTTTGAGAGCTCAGCTATGGAAAAATATTTAATTTGTCAAAGTCATAGTGACTTTTAGGCCATGTCCCCTTAGAAATACTGACCTAAAAATAGTACTAATCAGAAAGTATGGCATTTATAGTATCTTAATGGCATGCACCCAAAATAGATTCTAGTTATATCAGCAAGTTGACAAGCTCATAGGGTACAGATAACTCTTGTAATTAATTTCTAAAAGTCACAAGAACTGTGAAGTTGGTATAGGTGGAGTTTACTTTTTATTGAAATAATAAATTGCTAGAATCACATCTATCCTGGTATTACTACAGATTTACTTGAAGGTAAATTAAATCACAATCAGAAACCTCCCAACACTGTTAGGATAAAACTGTTAATTTTCCTCTCTTATGTTAATGATTCTGAGAAGTATGGGCTCTAATTAGAACATGTATAGAGAACACACTGTGACCTGCTGATTCTTCAGTGTATGCAACTTTCTGAGGTACATTATTTCTAAAACACTCCCCTTAAATAGGTCACATCACTCACTATGCTGGTACCACACATTCATTTGAGAAGCACAGGACAGCAATTCCTATAATTAAAGTTGCCCAACATTTTCATTATAATAGCATGTTCACAGTTTCTTATAGGTTTAATAGGTTTTAATGTTCTAAAATGAAATTTTCTGTAATGGATATCTGTATCAGAATAAGTACTTAAGTAATTGTTGTTTTTTTAGACACATAATAAGTACTTGATCTGACTCTCACTTTTCAAGACCAGTGTTTGGCTCAGTTTGTAGGACATGTCTGCTTTGAGAAAGGAACTTAACTCCATAAAGACTGGAGCTAAGTCAGCCATGCTGCATATCCTTCAAAATTACCGTTCTTGTGTGAATAGAAGCATGCTAGTTCTTTTGGTTAAATTCTTTGCAAATTGTCTGCACCAAGTGTTCCAGGGAAAAGGCACAGACAAGGTCTAGAACCACACACAGACTCAGGCTGCATGCAAACATCATGCAGCTGCCAGCACTAATGTCCAGACCTGTAAGCTCCCAGTGGATATGCATAAAATAAAAAAATCTTGCAAAGCTATTCAAAGTCTCAGGTCATGATCAGAGGATATGCTAGAATCAGCTTTAAGTCATCTGGGATCAAATGAAAAATGCTGCAGCCCCAGATAACTGTGGATTCCATGGCTGGAGCTCTACCCTCAGGGAAAACAGGGATGACTTCTTCAGGACCATGTAGTTTATTGACTAGTGGTAAGTTTATTTAAGCCAGGGAAGCATGACAGGACCCATCTCAGGTGAAAAGCAAGACTCTTAATCATATTTTCCTTCTGCCTTGGTAGCTGGAGAGTGAGAGTTTAAACAGAGCCTCCTGCTGCTTAAGTGCAGATGTGGTCTTCACTGATCTCCAGGACCTTTTAAAGCTGATGGAGTGTCTGTTCAGTAACATCAGCCAGCTTTCAGCCCCCTCCCACACAGCCCACTGGATCCCATGAACTCAGCTGGGCTGAGAGTTCTCAAGAGATCTTTTACTTGATCTTGTCTCTGAATCCTGTCTCAAAGCTCAGAGACCTGAGCTTGGTGAAACTGACTTGGTGGAAAGAAAGGATTTCCTTGGTGGAAAGTAAGACTAGGAAAGCTTTTGAAGTCCCTTGGCAGTGTCAACTCTAGTTGACCTTTGGATTTCCTCACACCATCTCTGCATGCTGAGGAAGTATTCCTATATTTCGCTTCAGTAGTCTGTCCTTGTTTCCATCCCATGTGTAGTTTTTTTGCATTCATTCACAAGTTCTATGTTTACCAAGTTTGTCTCCTAACACATTTACTTACTCCCCTGATTGCTGGGGCAGACTGTTCTCGTGCTTGGAGGAAGTCCTTAACAAACTGCCAGCTCTTTTGAGCTCCTTTGCCCTTCAGAGCTAACTCTCACAGAATCTCACTTCACTTGAATAACCCAAAGTCATTCTCTTGAAGGGGCTGCAGTCTGCCATTTATCTTTGTCACTCCTCTCAGAACCCTGAACGCCACAATTTCATGGTTGTTACAATGAACATGACATGTCCCCAAATGTTCCTCTCTTGGTCATGAGTACCAGATACAGCTGGGTGTCCAGTTGAAATAGATGGCCTGTGTAGCAAGTGTGGCAAGAATTTGTCCCTAACACACTTTAGAAAACATGTGGACTTCTTGTGCCCGCTGTCTTGCAAATTCAACTGGTAATGCAGCTTGCACTAGCAATCATCAAACTCCAAAGAGTATTGCCTGATTGATGGAAATATTCCATAATATGCTGAAGAAGGACATTTACTTACAGACAGGTATTTTGTATTTAAAAATAGGTATCCTGTGTGGTGTGATCAACATTCTGGAGGGAAGGGATAGCATGCAGAAAGACCTGGACAGGCTGGAGAGGTGGAACTTAGGAACTTCTACAAGGCAACTCCTGCACATGTCAGGGCAATCCCAAGAACAAACACAGGCTGAGGGGAGAAAGGATTGAGAAAAGGCCTGGGGAGAAGGACTTGTGGGTGCAGGTGGATAAGAAGCTCAACATGCCCCAGCCACAGGCATCGGCACACAGAAACCCACCCTGTGCTGGCCTCATTGCCCAGCATGGGCAGGAGGGGATTCTGCCCTCTACCCCGCTCAGGTGAGATCCCACCTGCAGAGCTGCTTCCAGCCCTGGGGAACAACAACAGGAGGATGTGGAGCTGCTGAAGCAAGTCCAGAGGAGGCCACAGAGATGCTCCAAGGGCTGGAGCCCCTCTGCTCTGGGAACAGGCAGGGAGAGCTGGGGGTGTTTAGCCTGAAAAAGAGAAGGCTGAGGAAAAACCTTAGAGCCTGGTCCAGTAACTTAAGTGGCTTCAAGAAAGCTGGAGAGACTTTGGACAGGAATCTAGAATGACAGGACAACGGGGAATGGCTACCTACTGCAAGAGGGCAGGGTTAGGTGGGATATTGCCAAGAAATTCTTGGCTGGTAGACCAGTGAAGCCCTGGCATAGCCTGCCCAGAGATGTGGTTGACCCATCCCTGGGTGTTCAAGGTCAGGTTGGATGTGGTGTGGAGCTACCTGGTCTAGAGAAAGGTGTCCCTGTCTATGGAAATGTGGGGAATGAGATGGACTTTAAGGTTCCTTGGAAGCCAAATCCTTCTGTGATTACTCTGGTGGTTTTTTTTTTTTTTTTTTTTTTTTTGTTTTGTTTTTTTTTAATTAGTGTCATTCATTTATTTGTAAGAAGTTTTGTCCATTTTGCTGTTATATTCCTGATGGGCAATTCTCCTAGCAGGTAAACCAGATGGTTTCATTTCATGATACTTACAAAAGCAATCAGGAGCCCGGCCCTTGGATTCTGCCTTACGCTAGTGCGATAGCTTGTGAGGGATGTAGTCAAATGAAGGGCACTCTGCATGCTGCTGTTAAATGAACCTTGAAGCAATCACTAGGGGTAAGATGAAAATCATTAATTGCTCAATTCCTACGCCCTGTGCCAGCTGCTGTTGAGCGCAGGACGTGGCACCAGGAGCAGCTCATGGCCCGCCCGCCCGGGCTCCGCGGCCGCGGGAAGGGCAGACGGCAAGGCCGCGCACGGGACGGAGACGCGCGAGCAACTGGCCCCGCTCCGACCGCCGCGGTACATACGGTGCCCGGGCAGCAGGGAGCGATCGGGCCAACGGGGGCCCCATAACGAGTCGGCCCGCGGGGACGCTGCCCAGACCGGCCGCCTGGAGCTGCAGAACCGCCCGGGAACCAACAGGGCACCGCGCACAGCCCCCGGCTCCGCAAGGGACGGCTCCGCAAGGGACGGCTCCGCAAGGGACGGCTCCGCAAGGGACGGCTCCGCGCACGCGCAGCGCCCTCCCGTAGCGGCCGCAAATCGGAGCGTGCGCGCCGCGCGGGGCCCGCGGCGAGCGGTGTCGTCCGGCCGCGCGATGCATTGTGGGCGCGGCTGAGGAAGTAAAATGGCGGACCTGGCGAACGAAGGTAGGTGGGAGTTGCAGGCGTCGCTGCTCTGGCCTACAGCGGCTCTGCGCCGCCGTGAGCCTAGTCTAGTCCGGCTCGGCCTGGCCCTGCGATCCACGTTCAGGGGCCAGTTCGGGAGCGCCACCTCCCCGCGGCCGTCCCTGTCCTAGTGGGGCGAGCGGCCGGACAAAGGGAGCGCCTTGGTCGGGCCACCGCGCTGTCCGCGAGGCGCGGGCGGACGAAGCCAGGCTGGGGCCTTCGTCCTTAGGTGCCTCCCGCGGGTTGGTGGCTCTGGGTTCGCGATGCGGCGATTCCCGAGGCCGGTGGCCTGGGGCCGTTGCTCTCTGGAGGCGGACAGTGGGCCCGGCGTTGGGCATGGCCCCTGGAGCGCGGTAGCGAGCGCTGTGTCTTGGCCCCGGCTCTGAGCCGCTTTGTACCCCGCCTTGTCCACTTGCCTTTTGAAGTTATTCTCCACTGCTTTCGTATTACTGTAGATCTTTCCTTTGCTTACACTCATGTTAATACTTTGTTTAGTTCAAGGATTGATTGAAGGCCTATGTAAAACAAGGCAGGGTATCATAGTAGATGCATTGTATTTTTTGGAGCTGAAAACATCAGAGGTGGGCTAGTAAAGTGGCTTCCATTTTTTCTGAAGAGCATTAGAAGAACCTGGGCTGCAATACTGCAGTATTTGGGTATTCTGTCCCAATGTGCGTACAGTGGTGTTTTAAGCGGCAGTGGGTATCTATATTTTGGCTTTAGGAATGACATATGTCTCTCAGTGTTTTGGCAAAAGCCAGTTTGCCCAGCTGTCTCTGTTGTGTCTCATCATTCCTCTCAGCTAATGGAACAGGAAAAGAAATGCCCAGCAGGAGGTGAATGAAAATGTATGCGAGACCCCTTCTTTCAGGACTGTTTCTTACTTTGGAACTCAGTGTTAATTATTGTTCTGATATTAGCGTTAAACAACAGGAAGCAAATAAATGTTGTAGGTGCAGCCTTTGAAGATGAAGCCTACAAACAGCTAAAAATACAATTACACTTAAGTTAACAAATCCTGTGATGTGGCATGGCTTGGGCTGTTGGCTTCCAGACTCAAGGTGAGTTGTCAGTGCCTGAGGAGGCATGATAAGTGGTCTCAAGAATAGTAGTAGCCAAATCTGTAATGACTATTTGTGAGAAACTTAACATCAGTACTTAATTTGTATACTGCCATTATAATGACCTTATAATAAATTTTAATGGGTTCTTTTGTTCTCTTAAAATGAGAAGCTTGGCAGTAGCTATCTTAAGTCATGCAATTTCCTCACTTTACCTCCTCTTTCTGCTGGGGATCATTAAGCTCAGCAGTTTACCAATATTTATTACATCTTCTGATGATGACTTGCCATATGTTTCTATCTCTACTTCTCTTTTTCTGACGGGTCTTGTAGACTGTCTAGGATGGCAAGGGGGAGTTTGATCCCATCCTTGTGCTCCTTTCCTGCCTCCAGAGACTTGCCTCACCTGTAAACCTCTTTAGTTTATACTCCCCTGTCTTTCCAGAGTTGTCATCTGTTGCTGTCATTCAAATGTCATTCAATTTCTTCTTGCAATAAGAATGTGATACAGTCTTTCCTCAGATGAAGTAAGATAAGCTTACTTTGGAACTGTTGTCTCTTCATTCTAATATCATTGTCTGTTGCTAGTTTTGTTCCTTTCAGTGCCATTTTTGAGGTGTGTGTTCTTTGCATAACAGTGGAAGTACGTGCACTTCCTGGAATTCGCATCTTTCTGCTGAAACTTGGAGAATTCTGTAGTCTTTCTACTTGGCTTATTTGCAGTCTCTGTCATGGCAAGGATCTTCTCAGGTGACTGTTTTATCCTCATTCTTCAACACATCAGTTAGTTTTATTTTTCCATTGTTTAGGTGAATGCTTTACTTTCTTGTGCTCAGGTATTTTAATCTAAGTGTGTGAAGTAAGTATTTTGGTACTGATAATGTTCATGTTCACAAAAAAGTGTGATTACAGCGAAGTTCTTAATGTTCCTGAATCTTGATTGATCTGTACAACAGTGCTGTCTCAGTCATACTTTGTTCTTAGGTGTGAACTAAGTATTCTTTGACACATAGTCTACACAAGTACCTAGAATGGGGTTTCAGTCATTCTTGCAGACTGTTTTTGTTTGGTGTGTTTAAATAGTCCAGTGGACAGGCAGCTTTTACTGGCTGTTCATGCAAGTGAAACTCAAGATTTTTACCTGTTTGATTACTGCAGCAAACCTTTTCCTGGCCTTGAAAAGTGCTGAGATTTGTGTGGCTTGTGTCCTCTCATCTTACTAATATAAAGCTCTTCTAACCTATAACTTTTACCATGACACCCATCTTTAAATTCATTGATTGATGTTTCTGATTCCAGTAGTATATTAGGTACCTTTACCTTCTAGGTTCTGATATCTCTCTTAAACTATTGAGTGTCTTAAATCACTGCTAAGCTGTCAGTGCTGCCTCCAAGTAACCATTCTACCAATGTCCTTTGTAACTTCGAACTATTTTAATGGATGATCTTTCTGATGCGTTTTTTCAAAGCTACAAGCATTCTCTCTAATAATTACTTCATTTTTTGTCATTCTTATTGTTCCTCAAATAGTTTTCATCCACTTGTCTTTGCTTTGCTTCCAGTGAGTTGGTGAAGCTGCTCCCCTGCCTCTTTATATTGGAGTGATGACCAATTGTATCTTGACAAGAGAAGGTTATTGGTTTAAGGGGGTCCTCTGCTGCACAGAAGGGGGCTGAAAGATGACATAGTCCTAGTGACACTTTCTGAAGAAGTTTGTACTGTGAAGTTTGCTAGGAGCAGATCCTGGTCTTGGCATTGCCTGTCATGGTGGGAGATGAGTTGATAAATATGGAGCTAATGAAGAGGAGGAGAGAGTAGTTTCTCTGTAGCTGTGTGAAGTTTGATTGACTTTGCTGCAAAGATTTAGTGACATGGTAATAAAGGTTTTGGGGACTGTCATTGTGAGGGTGATAATTGAAAAACAGGGGTTTAGTCTGGTAAGCACAATTGTTATTGGTACTATTGTATTAAGTAGTTACTGAATGTTCTTAGAAACTTTCTTTGGAGTCTTTGGTACTTCACTGCCACATGTGTGAAGTGTCAGTTTTAAGACAATCCAGCTAGAATACCAAAGAGAACTAGCACCTTCCTGTTGGTCCTATATATTTATGGGAACTGGAATGCTTTTCTCATTAACTTGTGGCTAAAACATAACTAGTAATTTGCTTGTCTATAACTTACTGCTGAAGCTGCATTTTTAAGACAACAGACTTCCCTTGTGTGGGGAATGAATTACTTAATCTTCTCAGTGGCTGAAAGGTGATACAGATTTTTCTCAGGGCTAAAATTTGATGGATGTGTTAACATTTTCCTTTCAGGAGGTGTCTGCAACTTACTTGGCTTTATGAAATTGCTGAGTATACAGTTCAAAATCATAACATGTTTACTGTATGTAACTGCTTTTAATTAATTAGAGGCTAGAGAGCGGTGGTGCAGGAAGGGACCTGGGGGTTCTGGCTGATGGCAGGTTGGATCTGAGCCAGCAGTGCCCTGGAGCCAGGAGGGCCAACCGTGTCCTTGGGGGCATCAGGCCAGCTGAGTGAGGGAGGGGATTGTGTCTCTCTGCTCTGCACTGGAGCAGCCTCACCTCGAGTTCTGGGGGCAGTTTTGGGCACCACAGTATAAAAAAGACATTAAGCTAGTAGAGGAGTGTCCAAAGAAGGGCCACAAGGATGGGGAAGGGTCTAGAGGGGAAGGTGTATGAGGAGCTGCTGAGGGCACTCTGTTTGTTCAGCCTGGAGGAGACTGAGGGGAGACACCAATGCAGCCCTCAGCCTCCTCATGAGAGGCAGGTCCCAGTCTGTACACTCTCATGACCAGTGAGAGAGCCTGAGGAGGCAGCATGGAGCTGAGTCAGGGGAGGTTCAGCTTGGATACCAGGAAAAGGTTTTCCACCCAGAGGGAGGTTTAGCATATAAGGCTTCTCAGGGCAGTGGTCACAGCACCAAGCCTGAGTTCAAGAAGTGTTTGGACAATGCTCTGTCATATGGTGGCCTTTTTGGGGTGCCCTGTTGTCCCGGTTTAGGGCAAATTTGGGAGAAAACCGCCAAAGGGGTTCCTCTAGAAAGCAGATTCAAGCGGCCCCTCCCCCAACTGGTTTATGAAAGTATTTCCTTGGAGGAAAGTAGAAAAAACCCTGCTTATTTAACAGGCAAAGCATTCACCAGCACAAAAAATGAGCAGTATTAAACAATAAAACCTCTTGCCACTCTGAAGAGATGACAAACTCAGAAAGTCCCCTTCGTGGGCTGTAGCTTGGCTCACTCAGTCTCCTATCATTCCTCTGGTGATGGAAATGCTGCGGCCCAGGCCCTGGCAGGCCACAGGTGTGAGCTGCTGGTGCTCTTCTGGGTGTTCAGTCCAGAGCAGGTTTAAACAGTTCCAGGAAAAAGAAAAACCACAGTCCAGTGAATTTGCCTCAGCGAGCTAAAAACTGACTAAAAGCAAAGGAGAGCTCTGTCCGTGTGCAGACAATACAGTCCAGGAGAAGGATGTAGGGGAGCAAGTGCAATTTCTGATAACAAACTTTGTGTTTCTTCTCTCTCCCGCTTTGCTCTTGGAACCAGTCTTAATGGTGCAGAATTTATTTCTGGGCTAAACAGACTAATAGGGATACAAGCATCATAAAGTCACCTCTGGACATTTCACCCCTTATCCCCATATCGTCAGCTTACTACCAAAGCTAATCTATATTCTAACTCAACACATACATTTATATACACAGTATACAGCTATATACAATGACAGTGGCATTCAGCAGACAGTGATATTTACTCCTAGTTCTCACCCAACAGTCAGATCTCCCTGAGGTACGTGTCGTGTTGTTCCATCTTTTTGCATTATCTACCGTGTGTAACCTGGTCCCTGAGCAAAGACAATCCCACAAATGGGTTTCTCTGTACTCAAGGCAGAATTCATCCA